TAAACACAATATCTGAGGTATTTTTCTGAAAATCTCGTTTAGAATAGCATTTCTGAGCAGAAATGTTTGTGATACTAGAAAACGCTAATCATACATATTGATCGAATCTGTATGTTGCCGGTTTACGTGATTATGCTTTACATAACCTGAATTCGACCTGAACTAACAACCCTATTACTTGAAGTATACCCGGAAAGTTAATGTATGTATACATAGAAAATCCAAATTGATTTCATTGATTTATGTTGTTAGTGATACAACGGGTCAGTCAGCTACAACGTAGGACCAGGCATATATATACATCGTTCCAAGTGATCACACCTCGTTAGCACGATAGGATGAACACCGAAATCATAGAAGTAGTTAATTCAATAGTGGTAATATATAAAAAAAAGATTACATATAAGGATATAGTACAGGAAGAAAGAATTAGTTAGTAGAAAGAATGATATGAAGCAGTTTTAATCTCACAGTTTAAGGGAAGACAAAGAGTGTATACACCTATACCATTATGATCGATTCTGAACTATGTCACACAGAGTCTCCAACCATTGGTTATGATAGTCACAAGGACCCTAACCAAGTAGTCTGCATCTACCAACATGGCTCAGACTAGAAGTTAGTGACTTCAAGGACTGATGACACATTTTGGTTTGGCCGCCCCTAAATGTCTCCCAACCATCCCCAACACTAGTCAGTATTGCACACCGTGGTAATCGGTGTCCAGATACACGTAACGCGTGGCCCAACCATATCAGTCGACGAAGATTGACAAACTCATCAACTGATTTACCATCATTCCCTAATACTCTGTATCTGTCTAACCTCACTATTACCTGCCCAGTGATCCCAGCAATATTTCTAAGGCACCTGTGGTCAAATACTAGTAGGTTACGAGTATCTTCTCTCAATGGCCACGTTTCGCAACTGTAAAGTAGAACAGAACGAACTGCCGCGTAGTATACTCGTCCCTTGATTGATAAACAGATATCTCTCCTTTGCCATAGGTGATGTAAGTGAGCAAAAGGCAAACGAGCTTTTCGAATTCATGCTGAGATTTCGTCAGACACCAACCCATTTGGGCTGATCAAACTTCCAAGATAAGTGGAGTTGTCAACGCGTTCGACTACTTCACTCCCTATCACCATAGTTTATGTGTTGACGCAGGTCAGTCCTGAAGCAACAATGGTGCACATGGGCTTCAGGATCCATAGGGAACAAATGGAGTATGAACCTATTGTTAGAGGTAGAAGAAGCGCATCCCAAACATTCTGGCATTGTTGTTCAATGCTACCAAAACACTCTGCATTTAATCAGCATCTTCACCAAACAGGACTATCTCATCTGCGTATTCTAAGTCGATAAAATGGAAGGAAGTACTACTAAGTTGGATTAATATGAAATGTAGTACAGTAGTTAAAAACTAACTCAAAAACAAAGAACATTCATGAACAACTATAGATTTGTATATTATTCCTAATATCTAATAGGTTGTACACTATTCTGGACAGAAAACAACTTATTTATCATTTCAAATTCATTGAAGTTGTTATATAGATATATGAAATAGAATCTGTAAACTGTATGATAACCATTACAATTTCGATAAATTATTTCTAACATAATTCATTATCATTCACTATTTATCATAAATTAAGGTCAATAGTAATGCATTAATTATATAATGTAAACTAATATGATTATATATTTACACTCAATGACATGATTAATTTATCCAGTTTATGTCATACTGATTAATTTACAAATATAAATGAATATCATGATCAAAATAACAAACATATTGTAATTGTATTATGATCCTGAATGGGCTCGAACTTTACCTTCAAATGCTCTCACATGACCACGTACATACAACCACTGACAGGGAAGTCTTACTCATTGCCTTCTTGTGGCAGGAGTGTTGTTTACGGTATTGAAATAACGGAAAGTGAATGTCTGGTGCTTTAACTGGGTTGGTGGATATTGAGGATCCACTGAGGGCAGTTGGAAAACCCTGATTCCAAACCAATGGTGCACATGGGCTTCAGGATCCATTGGGAACAAATGGAGTATGAACCTATTGTTAGTCACCGGCGACTATGGGACTGAATCTCCTGACGTTGCTCCACTGCCTTGTGGGTCAGGCCTTTAGGTCAAAAGCTCGGGGAGTGACCTAAGAAAACTACTTGCTTCAGTTTGGGCGTCCGGGCAATAACCCAGCCTTCATACAAATCGAATGATTTATGTGGCGTACATATCTTTGGTGCCTCATTGTACCAATGTTTATGTGTTTAAATGAATAAACGACAAATAAACTACTATTTGATGGCTAATGGCGTAATCTTGGAACTAGAAATTCTGCATGCAAAGCATATAGCCGATAAGTTGGAAGTTGAACACCTAAAATGACTCAAGTATTGATAAGTAAGTATCTAATTACAAAATGATTATTTTATCCGAAAGCATTTATTTGAAAATGGACATTTTGACTGAAAGTTGTAAACTATTTTATTTACTATAGCACTGATAATGCTTTAGAAGATACTGTCTAAAATAAATAAACTTGCCGCCATCACTTTTTATTTGTTTAAGTACATAAAAATTGGTACAAGGAGGCAACAAATATATGTACGCTACATAAATCATTCGATTTGTGTGTGGGCTGGGATACTGCCCAGGTGCTCAAACCGAGGCATGTGGTTTTCTTAGAGGGCCACACCCCGAGCCCTTGACCTAAAGGTCTGACCCACAAGGCAGTGGAGCAACATCAGGAGATGCAGTTTCATGGTATTCGGTGATCAACAATAGATTCATACTCCGTTTGGTTTGGAATCATGGTTTTCCAAATGCCCTAAGTAGACTTTCAGTGTTCACCAACCCAGTTAAATCGCCGGACATTCTCTTTCCGTCGTCTCAATTCCATAAACAACACCCCCGCCACGAGAAGGACTTCCCTGTCAGTGGTTGTATGCACGTGGCCATGTGAGAGTATTTCGAGAGGGAGAGCTAACTCTCCCCACTCTCGGTTGTATCAAGGCATATGAAGGCTTCGTTATTGGTCGATATATTTATGTTTTATATACATTCAACTCTGTAAATCTGTCATGTAATTAACCTACTATTTTCTAAACGAAAAAGTTTCATCATAAATTAAGTAGAGTTTTAGAATACAGGCCTTATCGTTAATTTGTATTTACAATAAAATAAACGTGACTTGAATTCTAGTGAATGTATTTATTTACTTATCACATCTACATTAAATGCTTACACACTATGTTATTGTTAACATGAAGGATGATGTTGAAACAAACTGATTGGGTGATTATCAGTCAACTAGAGCTGGAGGATAATCGGAGTAGACTCATGAATCTACTTGTGTAAAATTATCAATATACTAACCTTTTTCTTACTGTGACTCACTTTAATTTAACTTGATTTATTTGGAATATAGTTATGTACCTGTCCAAGCTGTGTTCTGATTTGAGAGACTAGTCGAGTGAAGCAAAGTGCCCGAAAAATACTAAGCAATAAGGGTATCTGGTTTGGATAACTAAGGGGTTAAACAGAGAATTTAAAGGTGTTGAGTAAAATAAGAGGGAATTTTGTATTACTAGTCTGACTACAGGATAGTAATGATAGTTTTTTCGTAATTGTCCTTAGTTAAACAATTGTTCATTTAAAATAAGTTACCAAAGGAAAACTTTTTAACGGGCAACTACTACTAGTACTAACCAAGCCGTAATGTATGATAACTGTACAACTATCGGTTATTACATTCTTTTTATCGTATACAATTCAATGACGAAATGTAGCCTTGTTGAAACCATAGTTTCTGTGTGATCATGGTTAGTTATTAATTATTCGAACTGAACTGACGTGGCAGTACAAAATGTGTCGTTAAAATAGTACTAAGTATAATAAATATATATTTTTTGCGATATTCCAATCAATAAAAATTTGTAGCTCTGACGTTTCGTGAACTAATCTAATTTACTTCTTCAGAGTAAATAAATAACCGAAACAGAATTAACACAAGTTTAAATAGTACATAATGGTAGACAAGTTTATTTGTTCATGTGTACCATCAAATCATTACTCCCCTATGTTGAGATCATCAAGTGGACAAAGCTGAAATAAGATGCACGATAATAAGCAAAAGTGGTTAATCTATTAAAGAGATGGTAAATCTTCATCAACTGAGATGGTTGAGATATGTACTACGTATCTCCAACCATCAAAACCACCACCACACTCAACGAGCATTGATTGCTAGTGTAGGAGTAGATTGTGAGAAAGTTAGACATGCCCGAACGAAGACAATGTATCATTCCATGAAGTCCCTTACTGTTCGACTGAGATGTATTGGTGGGTGCAGACTGTCTGGTTGCGGGCCACGCGATTATCATAACCAATCGTTGGAGATTTTGAATGAAATATCTCAGAATCAGTTACAATTGTGGTACAGATGAGTTCACTCTTCGTCTTGCCTTAGATCTTGAGCTTTGAAAGTATCTTATAGTCTTTATTCTATGAATTCACTCTCTCTTCTCGAATCATATTCTCTATGTTCAATGTTTTGCATTATCACTGATACTGTTTCTACTACTCTGGTGTTTGTCTTAGTAAATTTATTTGGTTATTTTGGTGTGGTGTGACAACTTGGATGGATGCACGTATGTGCTAGCTTCTACGTTGCTTATAACTGACTGGCCGACCGTTGATTACCTTGATATGGTAGGCAAAGGAGAACGTTAGACTAACATAACCAATAATATCTTCATTTAAAAATAGCTTGACAGCTTTTAAGTCATCTCAACTAAGTCAATGTATTAGCTACACAGACGTACCTCCAACTGCGTAGTGTTGACTGTTGACGTTAAATTATGGGCCAATGGTGTGATAGAAAGCAATGTCGTTTACATTGAAGTGAATTTTAAGTGTCGAATAGATTTTACTATAATCAAAGAGAAACAAATGTCTTATACGGATATTAAACTTACTCAATCTTGTAGTAACTCAATATTAGTCTGACACGATCAACATAAGGGCAAAATCTGAATCCAATGAGAGTTAGGCGATTAGGATCAATCAGTGGTTTAGGGTCATCTGTTAAAAAAGAGGATATGAATGCAGTTAAAAAGTTATTTTTGTCAGTATCTATTTTGGTAATACAAAGTGGAATAGTGTATTTTTGGGCATTCTATTTATCTGTATATCTGCAGCACTTCTGATGTGTGGTTGACAACTGGAACTTCATCACCTAAACGGAGGTCGTTTTCATAGAAACTGGACGACTTGAAAGAGTTTTAGGAATGTTTTTACAGTACTGTTGGTTAACAGCAGGACCAACAAGTAACCTATGTTGATTAAACTTAGCTCACTGAAAATGTAAGTCTAGTTGTGGGATTCCATATCATTTAACGGGAGTATCGAGAAGACAAAAATATGAATTAAGCATATGATTACTAACTGTTGGCTGGATCTCAGTAATCTTATTTGTTTGTACCCTCAATATTGTCTCAGAACCTGGTGTTATGATTAAACGGCGCTTGAAATACAACGGAACCACTCACTTTTAGTGGTTTTGGCTTTTACGAAACTGAGATTTGAGAACTGTTTCACTTGTGAACAGTAGGTCCTATTGAGTTTATTACAAGGCAACCCAGTCCGGCAAAAACGTGTATGATTTTTTATGCAAAAGATCTAACCAACCATATAAAGTAATCCAGAAAGTTGATGAGCAAAACACAACCAAGATGAAAGCAACAGTTACGTTTAGGAACTAACTATAGCCGATTTACATTACGCAAGACACAATAATTAAGATACTTGGTCTTGGTAAGATTGATAATAAGGGTATCGACGCCCCCTAAATTTTCCTGGAAGTCTGAGTAAAAGATTTTAGGCTGCATAACTGGCTTTATGAATGAATAAAGTTTTTCAGGAAGGTTCGTCAAAATGAGATGATGGACCTTTGTGCTATACACTTTTAAAGATGAACTATGTGATTTGTGTGAGGATAATTGGATCTCAAGTCTGCTGTTGTGTTAAAACTAAGGGGTCTCCTTCATATAGTATTGATTAATCTGAATACGTGAGAAATTGACTATGAATGAGTCGGTTAGGTTTTTTAAATCATGGATGTGGCGATTACCTATTTACTTTGTGCAATATGCTTGAAAATCGAAAAATTGTAGACCGATAGTTATATTTCCCAGAATCAAGAGTGACTACACATAATCCAACAAGATCATATTCTAAAACTATAAAGTTTGGGGGAATTTTCTTACAATGTCTATTAACGTCCTTAAAAATGCATTACGTATGATGAAAAATGTAACTACTTCTTCCCACTATTGAGAACCAGTAGTGTAGTCACGAAAAGTTGTACACCGTCATTCCTTTTCAAATTTCTTGCGGATCGAATTTTGGAAGCAAGGTTAAACGATGTAAGCATTGGTGGTGTAATTATGTTGTCCTTAAAAATATCTTAATCACCTTGCAACTAGCTACAGTTTACGAACCACTAACCCTATCTTCCTGCGACTATTGGAAATACTCGGTTAATAGTGTAGTTAACCATCACTTCTGTAAAAAGCTGCTCATAACCTGAATTACAGCTCCGTATCAATAGTTACTTGTAACTTCATTGCTAAATGCAACTTCGAGTAGAATGTTCACTCACATCAAACGGCCAAAATAATGTTTCGATTTATATATGTTTGTTTGTCATCCTTACAAAGTTTGGAAATAATGAAATAATACGTATATGATAATTTAGAAATCAATTCCTGCCAGTTATCAGAAAGTTAAACCACTGTAAGGGCATCTAAAAGCAACATACTTCGTTTGAGGTGCATTATTGTAAATAATCTCCAAACGCTAGTTGAGATGTTTGATCGACAACTAGAGCTGTACTGACAAAAGTATAGTCTGCGAATAAAAGTGCAGAACGATTAGAGACAGCAAAAGAAATGGATATAAAAAAACTGACTTTAAAAAGTTGGGAACTCAGCTGTGTAAATTACAATGAACGAGCTTATTTAAATGTATTTACAAGCTTCCCACTGAAAATTTGTTTGTGATCTAAATTTAGGTGAAAAACATATGAACCACAGGGAATAGTAATTTAAGACTACTTAATTCAGATACAGGGTCACCAGTCAAATGCGTTAGTTCTAAGATACATTACCCGAATTTATATGCACTGCAGAAACACTAGGTACGTTAGATAGTAATACTACTTTGGTACATGCAACTGTCACATTTATTCATTTCGATATATAGACCGAACAAAGCGGTCACTTTCCAAACGCATCTCAGAACACTATCCGGCTTGGCTTGCTAAAAAGGAGAATGTAGGACAATCATTAGTCCTATACAGAAGCATTTAATCAATTATGGACACACCGCTCCCAAGTATTCTTTTAAGGTGATTTACAGAGTCAAAGGAATTGGATCGAAGGGGTGTCGAATCAATATTCTATGCACCGCTGGGGCATTGGCAATTCACGAACTCAAGCCCAAACTTTGCGTGCAGAAACGATATATCCAACCTCTCATCCTTTTTTGGCCCTAATTCCCTTAATGGGTATGTTTTTGTTTTTGTCTTTCTGCACTTCTATTTGATTATTATCGAGTTTTTAAAATCGCTATTTTGCATTTTAAACTCTAATCAGTTACTATTATTATTACCTCATACAAGTTTTCTTGATTATTATTCAGTCTATTATTATGACCTTTGTGTTTGTCGCTTTTCTTCATATTTGTCAACTGAACCATTATCTAACCCCTTGATTAGTACACGTAACCTCATTTGGTATTTATCCTCGAATCCATTTTGGTGATGCGATTTTTTCTATCCTCCTACAGACATACATTTTCCATATATAACTATCTATACAGCTTAAGTAAATGATTACGTTGAAAAGATTTTCTTCACTGAATTATCTTTTTTTTATTCAATGACACTATGGGTTATTTTAATTATTTTGATATATCCCTATAAAATTTCGTATATTACTATTTCTACTAGCATGAACATTTTAGAATCAACACAACTATTGGGTGCTCAATCTACTGAAATTTAGATCATTTTGGATTATTCATCCACCATTTTTAAAGCTTTCCTGTGAATGTCCATATAGTACTGTATGGAAGTAAATGTTTGTCATCCCCACTACTTATTGTAGATTTTGTGGTTAGACTATAGTTTATGGACGACCTTTGAGCAACGCTGAAGTGACCCTGAGAGGAAACTACTAATTAAGACTAAATAAGGGTTATAAAGCAGCTGCACATCTCATTTACAGTTGATGGTTAGAGTTAAAAATTAGATTTACGGTTTTCATCACGAACTGACATCGGTTATAATGCCAGAACTCTATTTAGCCAAATGCATGGATGAATTTTGCGCCCGAATTCGTGACTCGTTATCTTATATAAGATTATTTGGTCCATAAATTATACCCGAGCTCCCAATTTATGAGAAATTTTGGGAAAGTCCCCAACGTTTGTGAGATTTTGAGGGTTTTGTGCTGTTTCCCCGAAATTGGGAGCTCGGGTAGTCTCGCCGAAATTTCTCAACATCATGACATTGGGCCACAAATAAATATGTTTGTCGATCAATTACAATCAAAGCAACTAATAACAACAGAAAAATGAAAGAATATTGAGGTTAAAGCAAGTTCTCAATAACACTCAAGACAACATAGAAACTGTCTACGAAACCGCCTTGATTTAACTTACCGCCGGATTGTTACGACCTTGAACCGACTTTCTGCTTAGAGACGTATAACAAAAACGGCTATTAAACATGTTGACTCAAAGACAGGAAACAACTTACCTGTTTCCGTACTTAATAAAACTAGGCGTCACAGTCTAAGTCGAACATCCCAGCTGTTGTACGGAAATCAGCTGGTGATCTGGTCGCACAATCTACCCCCAAGAATGTCCGTCCGGTCATCAAAGAGCCTGAGATTCATAAACGTGCTCCAACCTCCAAACAACTACGTGCTAAATCTGAACGCACCGGAAAACCTAAGACGACAATAACGGTTCGCGATGACTCTCTCATAATCATGAACCTCAAAGCCAACCCTGACCTTTCTCTCAGTTTGCAGGACAAAAATGATAGGATGCTCTGAGGAGAATTGAACAAGAAACTTGAACTCCCAAGAATAGAGCCTTTGATAGTCACACGGCTCACTCGAAGAAAGGAATCTAAGCATTAAAATCACCCGAGGCTACTTCGCGTAACGCTTAAGAATGCTATCGACGTAGAGGATGTCTTGCTAGCGAGTCATTTACTGAAATCAGATGGGAACGTAATAATGATGCCTAACATACCGTATTCTGAACGCAATCTCATCCGGAACACCCCCAAAGAATCTCGCGAGAAGTTTTTTCTCGGAAGGAATATAATTGTGCAAGGTGTACCGGAAAACACGGACCCTAATCCAGCAAACTCCGATATCAGTGAATGGAAATTCATCATACAGTCCTTGAGGCTCAAAAACAGACTGACTCAACACGTGACGAGACTAGCCAAGAAGGACGACGATTCCAAACCCTGGTTAATGAAGATAACTTTCCCATCCTCCCACATGGCGGCTTCAACTCTGGAGGCTTTTCGTGCCAACAGACGTCGGTTGCCAGCTGGAATCCACATGCGCCCGGATTGGCCTTATGAAGCTAGGACCAAGCACAAAAGCAAATTTGAGCTGACCATTCCACTTGTGGACTGCCTCGATGATAAAAAAACGTGTAAAGGACAGGGCCTACCAACTCGGCAAACAGTATATATAAGTAGGCTACCTGTCCATTCACGTAAGACTCATACAGACAAACAGGTCGAAGCTCACGCGTTTCAAATCGAGAGCATAAACTGCTTATATATGAACGCCGCGAGTCTACCAAACGAAATGGACGAGCTACGTGAAATTACCAGTACTCATAAGGCTCATCTGACAGGAATAACTGAAACTTGGACATCTCAGTTCTCGGACCAGGAGTTAGCAGTACCTGGGATGTCTTTGTTTCGCAACGACAGAAAATCAGGAATTTGGGGTGGAGTAGCCATGTACATACGATCTTGCTTGGAGGTACACCAAGTTCATAACCTCGAGTTTAACAATCTTGAGGAATCCATATGGTGCTCCGTAAGATTGTCTGCTACTTCGAGGTGTCTAGTCGGAGTCATATATAGGAAGCCCACCGTCGTATGCTGGAAGGACCATCCCGCTCTACTAGTCTCGGTTTCACTCATATCCTAATTCTAGGAGATTTCAATCTCCCTAGAGTCAACTTCGTTGAACATACGTTCATTGGAGGTGAAAATTCAACTGAAGCTCGGTACTTCAACCTCGTCGAGGACTTGGGATTATACGAAAATGTAAAGCCGGCAATTCGTTGGAGAAACAGTCAGACACCATCGCGCTTAGACTGTGTATTTACAAACGAAGAATTCCTAGTTGACAACCCCTCAATCGTGGCTCCTCTGGGGAAGAGCGATCACGCCGTCATAACCATCAGTTTTGTCAGCAAAAGTGAACTAAGATATCCCACCAACAATTTGCGCCGGAATTTCAAATGGTTGAATGTGTCAACTCTACAGGACTATCTAAAACAGGTGGATTGGGATGTTCACCCTCAACTTGATGTGCAGTCAGTCAGCCAGCTACAACGTAGGACCAGGCACATATATCCATCGGTCCAAGCTGCCATACCTCATTAACACAACAAGATGGACACCGGATTAATAAAAGTAGTTAGTCCAGAGGTGGTAATATATAAAAGAAAGATTACATATAAGGATATAGTACAGGAAGAACGAATTAGTTGGTATAAAGAAAGATATGAAGTGATTTTAATCTCTTAGTTTAATGGAAGACAGAGAGTGTATAAACCGACGCCATTGTGATCGATTCTGAGCCATGGGATTTCTTACTGCGCATGCTCTTGTGCTACAAAGCAGTCAGTTCCTCAAACGATCCCCAATAGCTACAAGCAACCTACAATCATCAAGAACCCCGCTCTTCGCCTGCTAAGCCGCAAAAGGCACTGTTGGGCAGAGTACAAACGAACTGATAACAACGGAGCGTACAGGCAATACAAACATATAACGAACATATGCACGAAGGCTATAAGAGAAGATAGGCTTCAGTATCAGACAAAGCTTGTGGATAAATTTGTCTCTAATGCTAAAAGCTTATTCCGTTATGCAGCCACTTTTCGTCAAGCCAAAACTGGAGTTTCTAAACTGCTAGGTCCTAACGGCCTGACCAACGACGACGGCGACGCTGCTAAGCTTTTGGCTGAACAATACTCTCGGACATTTCAACTGACGCATATAAACTATAATGACGATAGCTTCATCTGCGGCTCCAAAGGACTTTCCGAATTGAACCTGAGCGCTGACTTGGTGTTCCGGAAACTGTAGCACTTAAGAATTGACACTTCTCCTGGCCTGGATATGGTTCATTCTGCCATACTGAGAGAAGCAGCCTCAATCCTGGCAACGCCGCTTAGCGTGATGTTCTCACACTCGCTAAGCCAAGGAAAACTACCGGAAAATTGGAAGCTGGCTCATATCACACCAATTATCTAAGGAGGTCGACTCAGCGAACCTTCAAGTTACCGACCGGTGGCTCTTCTCTCAATACCTTCAAAAATCATGGAGTTCCTGACGTGCGATGGTATAAATGATTATTTACTGTCCTTAAATTTCTTTTCACCCCAACAGCATGGTTTCAGGAAGGGTTACTCTTGTATAACCAACCTGCTGACTGCGGTGGACAGATGGATAAGCATCCTCGATCACAAGGGAAAGGTTGATATCATCTACCTAGATTTCTCAAAAGCTTTTGATAAGGTTAACCATACATGTCTTATCGACAAGCTCAAACGACTAGGTATCAGACCGCCTCTAATCGATTGGCTTACTTCATACCTGAAAAATCGACACTTTAAGGTTAGGGTTAATGTCACTTTATCGCAGGCTATGGAATGTCCTAGTGGGGTCCCCCAGGGCTCAGTACTTGGGCCTCTTCTCTTCTTGATTTACATAAATGATCTTCCTCAACAGGCAATGTCAGACTTATTACTTTTTGCCGACGACGTGAAACTTTGGAGAGAGATACGCGACCAAGACGATATACAGGCACTTCAGGAGGATCTGACTCGACTTCAAAGTTAGCCAGACAATAACGGACTTACCTTTAACACTTCGAAGTGTAAAGTAGTCCATCTGCGACATGTCGCAGACTACAGTTATAACTTGGGGAAATCGTCTCTAATAGTATCCCAACTCTTTAATGAAGGTTGGCTTTCTAGCATGCCTTATCTATTGAATCTACTATCTCAACTACGTTAGTGTCAACGAGGAGGATTCTTCTAGAGTCAGTGAAGTATCTCTAAAGCCGATCACAATTATTACATTGTTCATAACATGATCCCGATACTAAATATTACCAATGGACGGGGATCGCTCCGTTTCCATTCGTTAAGATTAAAAAAGTGCGACGAAAAGGGTTCATTGATTGGAGGTGCGTCATACTTGAGGCAGCCTCGTCTTACTCACGCCATGTCATTTTGTAATGTAGTAGTAATATACACACGCGACTCATTCTAGCTTTTAACATACCTTAATCAACTAAAACATCATGCAACACTAAATCAACTTAACCCTCATGAGAACTCTTGTGTCTATAGAAAATTATGAATCTCAGCACATATCCACGTCCTATTTCTATTACCTTGTGTGTTATCGTATTTGTCTGTCATTTAGTATCTTATCAAATGCTTGTCTCTTTGGCACACTACTCATTATCTATTTTGAGCTTGTGGGGATAGTTAGCGTAAACTTGTCTCATAATTATCCGCATTTTCTATAGGGAGATATGTAGTGGCTGATACCATGTCAAGCCCAAATCGACAATTCTTCTCAAACTGCATTTTCATCTTGTCACTGATTGGCTTACTGACCCTGACTGTTTTTAATATGATGATACGTGTGTTGTTTGCCCACTCTATTCATCGAGTGACTGTAATTTAGTGCCGTTTGAGCATGAATGTCGAGTCATTGCATCATTTTGTCTCGTCTCGCGCATCTTCGATTCGTTTCTCTGACTGTCTGTCTGGATCAACTGTTGTCTGGAAGCATGTGTTCGAAATCCTTTCTTGTATATGACTTAATTAATTCCATCATTTTCTAAAGTGAATTAAGTCGATAATTATATGCGAGAGTAGGTGACGTGTGTATTTTGTTAACACCATCATACGATCCAATCAAAGAGATCAAAGGAAAACTAAGGTTCCTTCTTTCCACACAGACCCAAATGCTATTCTTCCTGACAAATGTCTGCTACTTTTCTAGACTGGTACTAGATTAGAATGAATCAGGCTATGAAATAACTGAAAGCCTCGACTTTGAAGTTAAGCCTTGCAGCTTAATTAGCTACACCAAACAATCTGAATGAATAAACACAATGTTTGTTCCCTGAGAGTTTCTAGAGCAGACCACGAATTACCTAGTCTGGCCATAATCTTAAAAACAGATCAACATTCTAAATATAACATGATCATAATGACGGCTCCGAGTGAATTTAAGAAAGATCTGGGAAGCTCGTATTGTACCGAAGACACAATATCCAATCAACTTTTGCATGAACATACCACCATGTTAGCTTGATGTTACATTGGAATAGCACTGCAATTAGATATTCTAAAGTAATTACCAGTGGGAGACAGTTACACACCGAAAACAATTGCC